ACGTAAGCTATTTTTGTATCATGAAAGTGTGCCGATGATGATCTAATGATAATATTCATGAATACCATAATGACGATATTGATGATATTGATTTTTTTGGTTTAAAATGACGATGACCATGATTAAAAGTGGTATAGCGCCCCCTTCAGGTATTCGATAGAGAATTGTTATATGATTAAATTATTAATTTACTAAACAAGCTCAAATTTTCGCCTGATTGCAGAGCCTACCAATCAACGAACTGATATTTTGACGCACTACATACGCAACATAATGAACAAGCGTAGACTGGAATGTAGTATCAATCACCTCCCATAGGCATAAGACGCATAGTAAGCAAAAACTAATGGCGTCATCAAAATGAATAAATATTGGTAATAATCTTGTGAAGAATTGTCTCACCTACAACATATCAAAATTTAGAGGAAAATTGATCAATATTTGCGGAGATACGATCATTTCCGTAAATATGTTGACGTCATAATATGCAAATTCGTATTTTGAGTTCCAAGGTCAATATGATTGTGTAAAAAATACTTAATGGCCAAATGAGACATGAAATCATATCTCCGACTCATACTCTATCTAAATATGAAAAAAAATTGGCAGTCCTTATTCATCCCAATGGACTTTTTATAGGGATGTTTTTGCCCATATATGCTATGTAATACATGAGCTAGCACGCACGGATATTTATCTTCAACGGACGCTCATTCCGTTATTAATAGTGATAAAGAGATGAACATGGTATCAAATTGTTCAGAAAAATATGAGGAATATCCCTTCAAAAAAATTGAGGGGTAATTATTTTTCGTTCGGCCGTGACGAACGAAAACGCACAAAAATGCCTGTTTTGCGCTTTTTTTAATGAAATGCTTATAATGGCCTGAAACGTATACAAACAAAATTTAAGACGATTTTGAGCAATTTTTGCGCGCATTTATTGACCTGAAATTGACCGGACGGATATTGACCTTTTTCATGATAAATATGAATGAGAAATTCCTTTCCGTTATGAAGATATGATCATAAGTTGATTTTCACAAAATGGCGCCTGGATGACGTCACGATAACTTTAACGTATAGTCTTAGCTACAACATCTCCCATAGGGATTACACAAAGAAAGTAATTGATTAAGTGAAAATAGGGTAATAATAAAGTAAATAGGGTTGTTTTATACATTATTTGCGAATCTACGTGTTTTAATAACCAAAGGAGATGGTACAGTGAAAGGTCAAAAAGAGTGAAGAAAAAAATTGTTGGAGACACCCGGACTCGAACCAGGGATCTCGACGTTGGAAGTCAAGTGCGTTCAGGGGCATCGCCAAAGGGGAGGGTGTGGGGGGTGCGACACCCCTCCACCTGTCAGGATATTGTCGGTAAAATTCCGAAAAAAGAGAAAAGGGGGAGGGAAAAAAAAGAGAGGGAAAGGGAAAGAAAAGAAAAAAGAAAAGGAAAAGAAAAGAATGAAAGGTAAAGAAAGGAAAGAAAAGAGAAAGGAAAGAAAGAGAAAAAAGAAAAAGAGGGAGAAGAGGAAAGAGAGGAAAAGAAATAAAAGGAAGAAAACGAAAAAAAGAAGAAAAAAGAAAAAAGGGAAACAAAAGAAATGGGGGTGAAGAGAGGAGAGAGGGGGAGGTAAGAGCCTGAGAAAGGAGGAGTGGGAGTAAAAGTAAGGGGGGTTGTGGGTGGAGTCGTCTCGTCAAGGAAGCAAGAAAGACATGGGTAAATATGTTGCTGTGTCGGGTCAGCTGTGTCAGTATTCTTGCTCGATCCTTGTGTACTATATCAATGCAGAAGTTTGAAGTCGGTGAGATGTATATTGTTTTTTTCCCTACGAACTGTGACTTTTTATCCGCTGTGACGACTTCGAGAGTGACTACAACTACAATACTTGTATTTTCTCGAAGTTTCACTTTATTATAATATCAGCTAAAGAAATCAGAGGTTTAAAATTTTCGGGGAAACTAATTCAAACAAGGATTAAGAGTCCACAACGGTACGACGAATCGTCTTCCTTTCTCTATATTTTGATGAAACGCCACAATTTTCCAGCACTCGCTGCATGAGAAAGATGGAAAATTATCAAGTATTCTCTTAATAGAAGCCAATTTTTCATTGAAAACTTATGTGTTGTGATGAACTGAAAATCAATATTTAGCAACTTTGTGGGAGTAAAATCACAACAAATTTCAGATAATCATGCGCGCATGCGTCCGCTTGCCATTCTTTTAAGATTCATGGCGCCGCATAGGAAATTACTGATTTATTCCCCAAATTACTGATTTTGAGCCTTATGGTTACTGATTTTCTGTTCTGGAGGTTGGCAGCTCTGCTAATGAGCGCGCTTTGCGCGCTCTTTAAGTGATTCGCTTGCTCACTACCGCCCCTCCCTAAAATAAGATCCTAGCTTTGCACCTGCATTAAAATATATAGCTTTGATGTTGACTAAGTTGACGAAATATTTGAATATTTATGTCGTCGAGGAAAATGATCATTTGCGCATACACAATTACTATAGATAGTCCATAGGAAAAACAATTTAGCCTTCGGCCCCGGGTTTATAGGGTTAAATTTGTAGACATTGGGACATTTAATTTTGTCGGTAATTGGTGGCTAGTTTTGTCGGTAATCTTTGGCCTCTACACCCCCCCCCCCCCCCCCCCCCCCCCCACTGAAAAAGGTCTAGCGACGCCCCTGAGTGCGTTACCAATATACCAAAACAATTCCAATAGCGAGTACACGTAAATGGGAAATGGAATTCTCAAATCCTACTTTGCAAGTGAACTATGAGCATAATCCAAGCACCTGATCGAAAATTAAAAGACAAATTTTTGATAGCTTATTGCTCAGCTACAACATACTCAAAGCTCAGCGAAAACAAAGCTAAAACAACGGATATTTTGCTCGCGAAAGACAGGAATGTAGAATCCGGTTTTGAGAAAAAGTCATGTCCCATAGAGAATACACGCAAAATGTGAAAAATTGACATGCCTCCTTTAATCGCAAAAATACGCCATGATGCCTTTGTCAAAATTAAATATTGTGGACACTACATTTGTAGAAAATTGTCTCAGCTAGGACATATCAAAATTTGGATGAAAAACGATCAATATCTACAGAGATACAATCAATTTTCCAAAAATGCTGACGTCATAATATGCAAATTGAAATTTTGAGTTTTGAGGCCATTATGATGTCGTCATGAGTTAATTGAGGGTCAAATGAGACATGAAATCATATCTCCAACTCATAATCTATCCAAATATAAAAATATATTGGGAGTTCCCATCCATTCTGAAGAGTTACAATGAATTTTGTCTAGGCATGTTTTGCCCGTGTATTGTGGATAAAGATAACGCAGATCCGCGTGTGCTGTCAACTTTGACGGACGCTCATTGCGTTATTAAAAGGTGAACACATTATCAAAATGCTTGGAAAAATGTACCAAATATGATGACAGAAAAAAGTCAGCGATTCTATGTTGCAAAATGCCAGTACGCGCGTGTGCGAGATTTTGTTATCAAATGCTCCATATGGCCTGAAACGTATGCAAAAGAAAATTGGGATGATTTAGAGTATTTTTGATTTTGCGCGCGCGTACGCGCGCATTTCCGCACGTTTATTGACCTGAAATTGACCGGACGGATATTGATCTTAATCATGCTAAATATGAATGAAAAGTTACTTTCCGTTATGAAGATATGATCATAAGTTGATTTTCACAAAATGGCGCCTGGATGACGTCACAATGACTTTGAGTCTTTGAAAAGTCACGCAGTTCTAAGTTAGATTAAGATCTATCATCATTGAAAATTTCATGACAATTGCTTGATTCGGTCTCGAGATATCCTGCTAACAAAATCAAGGAAGAATAATAAGAATACTAGGAATAAAAATCTTGACGAAATCAATAGGTGATACGTAGACTGTAGCGGAAGCATCTTTGACTTCGTTATTGGTCGTTTCTTTATTGTTCCAATTCTCTCGTTGCTCCAAATGCTCCGTAAAAACTGCACAAATGAAAATAGATCGAACGGATCATAAATTAACTGTTCATCAATATACATATGCTTAGAGAAAACCTGGTGACTCTTATCAATAATATGCACCTTACAGCTATTTAACCCCTTGTTTTAACCTTTGTTTTAGCTCTTTTCCTGATCTCACACATTAACTTGTACTGCATATAAATTAAATACAATTATAACTGTTTGTTACTACCAGCTTAATTGAACTAAGTCAGACCTTTGACATACATGTATCTTTATAACTAAACCATCTAAATTATCAATATAAACTTGTATAAATCATATAACAACTTTCCCATATTATGTACCCCAAGTACTCATCTTTGTACATTAACTCAAATTAGGCAAATCTTTGTTTACATTCTTGCATACGTGTACCTTTTAATCGCATGCCGTAGTGTACATTACATAACATTAACATTTGGTATGTGAGCCGACCGTCTCGGCTACCGTTCAATGTAAGTTACATCCATGTAATGTACACAGCGAGTTAGGTGCGAATGAAAGGTACTTCATCATAGAATAACGCATCATTACAGCATTTATATACAACATTCATCACATTGCATCATTACATACCTTCATTCTGCCTTCTTAAGTGCATCTAACATCCATATTACACAAGGATGCCTCCAATATCAACAGATTTTATCCACTGGATATCAAAAAGGGTGCCATTTCTTCACACAAATTTAGTAGCCTCCAGATGGCGCTAAACATAAATATAATCAATCTACTTGATCGACTTAATGAAATGAATTCATATCGATCACTGAAACATAGACTTCGTACGTATCACCTAATGAAAAAGATCACACTTGCATGTGCAATATTCTCTGAACAATATGGAGGTCTTGGGGTTTATGTCCATAATGGGTAATGAGTAAATTGCAGGCTTTTGGTATTACAGCAAGAGAAATTAGCATTAAATGTGAGTTGAAAATCATTTTGGATATGTTATTTCTTCCCAGAACCGAACCCTCCAGAGTCCCTCAGCGCTACTGCTCTTGGTTCCGATGAGATTAGAGTCCTCCTCTCCCCACCCCAGGGAGAGTTTGACGGTTACGAGCTCTCCTTCTCTCCTTCCACCGGCGGTCCCATCTTGCTCGAACCAGACACGCGGGAGCATCTCCTGGACAACCTCCAAAGTGATACTACGTACAACATCCAGGTGTTTGCTTATAGTGGAGGCAATGGACAACGGCTAGAGGGTGATGTGATCTCAACAACAGCCACTACTGGTGAGAATGAAATTCATACCTATTAACTCTTTGAAGTTGATCAATAACAAAAACCAGATACCGGTATATCATTAGAATACATCAAGCTATTCCCTATTAAACATGCATTAACATGTACTAGGTATTTAAAAACAGGGTGTATAATAGATGATTTTTTTTCTTCATCATTAAAGCTTAAAAGTATAATGATAAAGCTTAAAATATAATGATATTGATATGTTGTCATTATATCCAATGATTAGTAAAAAATATTTTAACCTTGTACTGTTCATCATCTTATATTCTGAGTAGCACAGTGCTAATCAGGCATAAGGTCAGGTTTGCAATAAAAGATGTTGTGGTCCATTGGATAAGTCTCTGCACCACAAGGTACACGGTTCAAATCCCTGTCGCAGCACCAAAGATGTCCTTTGGCAAGTCTTTCATCTACATTTGCCACACTCCACATAGGCGAGGTGAATGGGTACCTGTAAGGAATTAATTCCCAAGAATGCTCGAGAGCTGTAATGGCAGCCGTGCTAAAGCAATTAAGGGTCATAACAACAACGAGCCAGGAGTGGCAATGTGCCAGACATGGGCACTATATAAGGCTCCTCTGTTAATGCTATTTGAGTGAAATGGTACAATATACAGGGTATGTATCATCCATTGATCTCACCGTATATTTTCTAGACGAAGAAATTCTGGTTGCTACGAACATCCAGACCAATCAGATCATCGTCTTGTGGTCAGCGGAGATGCTTGATGTCAACTCCTTCCAGACGTTCAGACTCTCGTATTCCTCTTCGATGGAGTCTGATTCAATCCTCATCCCCAAAGACGCCTTGACTACCAGCAATGAGTACGGCCATTCAGTCACAGACCTAGTACCAGGAGATCTTGTCACGTTCAACCTTGAGACTGTCACGTTAAGTGGCCAGGCTACTTTAGTAGACACCATCGTCCGCCGAACAAGTGAGTTTAACACAAAAAACACACCAAAATAGTCTATTATCTTCATAGCTATTCAGTTTGTATAAAAACTTATCAAAAATGTCACTTTTTTGTGTGTTTATGAAAGAAAAGTACTTCCATTGTATTGGTCGATAAATAAAATAACATTGTGTCCTAAATCTTTCTTGGGCAAAGCCACAAACAAATCAGGTCCATGGGGGAAAATGAGAAATCTTGGATATTAAAATATTATGTCACAATTTATAATATACCGTATTTGCTGGCGATAAGGCCGCACCGCCGCGTAGGCCGCACCCCCGATTTTGACATTTAATTTTTTTTTATGTGACTAAAATCACCGCCTTAGACCGCTCGGCCATCCCGCACTGATGGAATACCCTGCTGTTTTCTCTGATGTATACATTGAAATGGATTGAAAACGGCGACGTCGAGTGCTGGATGCTTCGCAGCAGCTCCGTTAAACGGGCCCTTCTTTTACTTTTGCAATGCATTGGCACGAACGTAGATTAAGATCTAGTGGCAGATGTTGTTTTTGGAAGTTTTTTTTCATCTTTATGTCAACAATGCAAGATCAAATTGTCGGTAAGATGTGTGGAAATGTCCTGTACCATATGGTATAGTTTTTTTACCGCTCGTAGTCCCATAAACGCAAATTCGTGCTGGTTTGGACTTACAATTTTTAAATTTTGTTTTACTGTTTCGCCGTAAAGGCCGCACCCCGACTATTTGATATTTTCTTTTCCAAAAATACTGCGGCCTTTACTCTGGCAAATACGGTAGGTAACCTATGACATCCCAGCCTCATTACAGTGTTGCCAATTTGTTTCCATTAAATAGTGATCTTCATATCCTTAACACGTTCATAAATTTTATATTGTTGACCAATTTTCCTCAAAATCAATTTTATCAGAGTCTCTGATTTTTATGCCTCCGCCACCGAAGTTGGTGCCGGAGGCATCATGTTTTCGGGTTGTCCGTCCGTACGTCCGTACGTCCCGTTTGACCGTTATCACAATATCTCAAGAACCATTTAAGATTTAAACTTAAGACTCGGGAATAGTATTTATCACCATAGGAAGACGATCTGATTAGATTTTGGAGTACGTAGGTCAAAGGTCACAGGTCACCGAGGTCAACTTATGAAATTCCTTGTATTGAGTTTGTTAGCGCGATATCTCAAGAACCATTTGAGATTTAAACTTCAAACTTAAGGATAGTATGTATCACCATAGGAAGACGATCTGATTAGATTTTGGAGCACGTATGTCAAAGGTCAAGGGTCACAGAGGTCAACTTATGAAGTTCCATACATTGAGATTGTTATCATGATATCTCAAGAACCACTGGAGATTTAAACTTCAAACTTAGTGATAGTGTGTATCACTATAGGAAAATAATCTGATTACATTTTGGAGCACGTAGGTCAAAGGTAAAGGGTCATAGAGGTCAACTTATGAAATTCCATACATTGAGATTGTTATCATGATATCTCAAGAACCACTGGAGATGTAAAAACTTCAAACTTAAGGATAGTATGTATCACCATAGGAAGACGATCTGATTAGATTTTGGAGCACGTATGTCAAAGGTCAAGGGTCACAGAGGTCAACTTATGAAATTCCATACATTGAGATTGTTATCATAATATCTCAAGAACCACTGGAGATTTAAACTTCAAACTTAATGATAGTGTGTATCACCATAGGAAGACAATCTGATTAGATTTTGGAGCACGTAGGTCACAGGTCAAGGGTCACAGAGGTCAACTTATGAAATTCCACACATTGAGATCGTTATCGCGATATCTCAAGAACCACCGGAGAATTTTCACTTCAAACTTAATGATAGTATGTATCACCATATCATAATATCTCAAGAACCACTAGAGATTTAAACTTCAAACTTAATGATAGTGTGTATCACCATAGGAAGACAATCTGATTAGATTTTGGAGCACGTAGGTCAAAGGTCAAGGGTCACAGAGGTCAACTTATGAAATTCCATACATTGAGATTGTTATCATGATATCTCAAGAACCACTGGAGAGATTTAAACTCCAAACTTGATGATAGTACATGTATGTATCACCATAGGAAGACAATCTGATTAGATTTTGGAGCACGTAGGTCACAGGTCAAGGGTGACAGAGGTCAACTTATGAAATTCCATACATTGAGATCGTTATCGCGATATCTCAATAACCACTGGAGAATTTTCACTTCAAACTTAATGATAGTATGTATCACCATAGGAAGACGATCTGTTTAGATTTTGGAGCACGTAGGTCAAGGGTCACAGAGGTCAACTTGTGAAATTCCATGTCTTCAGCTCGTTATCGCGATATCTCAAGAACCATTTGAGATTTTAAACTTCAAACTTAAGGATAGTATATATATCACCATAGGAAAACGATCAGATTAGATTTTGGAGTACATGTATGTCAAAGGTCATAGAGGTCAACTTGAAAAATTCAGACTACATGTATAGGACTTGTCATGATATGTCAAGAACCACTTGAAATATGTTCCGTTACTTAACCCGTACTTAACTGGGCTATTTTGAGCACCTCCCTGACTGGGGGGGGGGGGGGGGGGGGGGGGGAGGGGCCGATTGCCTCGAAATTTGGCACGCGTCTTGAGAAATTGCGCAAAGGAAGAGACCTCACTATTATTTTGCTGAAAATTGCTTATTTTATCAATTATGCTAATTTATGCAATTGCATAAAGGAAGAGACCTCACTATAATTTTGCTGAAAATTACTTATTTTATCAATTATGCTAATTTATGCAAATCAAATTCATGAATAATGATTTTTATTAACAATTACATAAATAAAGCTTTTACAGAGTTGATTTTGTGGCAAAAAGTTTCTAAAAAGCCTATCGGGCATTATCACATAAAAAAATTGTCCATGTCTATTTCAATTCTTATGTATTTCATTGTTTTATGAACTTCTTTTGTATTCTATTGTTATTAATTCTTAATCTTATGTATTGTATTGTTTTAGGACTTCTGATACTTGAGGTTGTTACGTATCAATATTTTGCTTGAATAAATGATAACTAAACTCTAAAGAGTAAAATTATGCTGATTTATAGACCAAACTAGAAACTTCACTTTGCCATTCATTTTGTACACAAAATGACAAATTTCTCAATTTTCGGTTTGCCCTTAGGTCACAATAGGTCAAGTAACTCTCTAGTTTAAATTGCTCTATGGCGGAGGCATCATTTTCGACTGCGCGCAGTCAAAATTCCATCTAGTTTTTCTTATTCTAAAGCAACTTATTTGCCGATGACTGTTTTCCTTGAATATTTTTTCTACCACAAAAATTGAATTCAGGAATGAATTTCCCTATGAATTTCCCTATGTTGATGATTATCTGAGGGGTACACAAGTTACAAGCTCTGCTTTTCAGTGGACCTCTCCATTTCCTCAAAATATAAATGCAGTTAAATTTAAGAATTCAATTTTTGTCTTCCTCAAATGTATAGATTTCTATTAAGATTTGTTTATTACAAATGTAATTATGTTTTGTAAACATTTTACATTGTATTCGTTATTGTGTATTGTATTTTGTTGGAAATGAATAAATAAAAATGAAATGAAATGATTGACTCCCAACTGCAGGCATCTTATCTGATGAAATACATGTATTCTCATCATGTACAGAGCCTGAAATGGTGTCATATTTTGAAGGACAGACCGATTCATCAACAAGCATCCGGCTGCTGTGGAGGGCGCCATCTGTTGGCCTGTATCGGGGATATCTCGTATCGTACTCGCCAGCCAACGGAGACCAGAGCTCGTCCATAGAATTAGGGCCGGATGAAGAAGAATTGACCATCACTGGACTTCACTTTAACCGGGTGTTTGATGTCAGTATTAGGTCGATCATGGGGAAAGAAGGCACCTACGTTGAGAGTGACCCAGAATCTGCCGAGGTTACAACAGGTACATGTTCTGTACATTTAGCTCTTCTTTAATTAACAGTGAAGCCTCATTCAGATATGATGGAGGAAACCGCCAAAAAGAAGCCCCTAACCTGTAAAGTTTTCTAATAGACTTTCCATCAAAGTCTAGTCTAAAAATTTGTTGAATATTCCAATGAGTTTTTTAGTCCCAATTTGCCATTATGTGGGGGGCAATGAGCAGAATTCCAGCTAGGAAACAGAAAAACAGTACTTAGATGAATTTCAAACTTGTTCTCTCTAAAATAGAGCACCTCTAAATAACAACTTTAAAAAATAGGTCCTCTCTAAGCTTCGCTTTTTGGCAAACCTCTCTGCTACGAAGGTTTTAGTAACAGTGACGGATATGATGCAGTAAAACCGCCAAAAACAAGCCCCTCAAGATTTTTTCTTCTTGTTGTAAATGCATGGCAAATGTGCAACAAAGGTCCTACTTGTTACCTCTGCTACTGGTATGTGTTATAAAATATGGAAATGTGAAGCGTAATATACTTTAAAGGTAATACAAAGTTTTGGTATGGGGTCATGAATTTCGTTCAAATGAACATATTGGAAGCATATGTGATCCTACAATATTCAGTGATCGTTGTCGCGGTTTAGATCGAGTCTAAAGTTATGAAATTGTAAATAATAAACTCTTTATGTTGTATAGCTCCCTCTGAAGGTCAAGATATTAATTAAGCTAAAAAACAATGTTTCTTGACTAAAATCGACCGATTAGCTATTCACTTCAATTCAATTCAAGCTTATTTTTCATTTCCACAGAAATCAGAACAATATTTCATTAAAACAAAACAAAAAATTGAACAAGATAACATGTGAATAATATCATTTACAAATACTTAAACTGCATATAAACAAAATTTGAATAACATAATACAAAAAAAAATTGATATTTTCTATGGAAATGGAGGGACCCATTAAAAAGTGGATACTTGTGGATTATGGGTCCCTCAAAATAACAAAGTAGCATTACACAAATTAGCTTATACAGAACAAAAAACACAAATATATTAATATAAAAGTTTGCTCTTTGTTTTTAAAATAAAAAAAATAAGAAATAAAGTAAAGACAATGACAAGCCCGCGAAGACAGAACAGTAACAAGTAGAGACAATGTAAGACAGAGAAAGACATTCAATAACAAAAAAAACCGAATATACAGCACAGACGTGGACGCAACATTTCCAAAACAACAAATCAGTTATTCTACATTCCGTATACTATTGTCAATACAAATCAGATTATCAGTAAAAAGTAAGACCGTATAAATCGATAACTGCACATATAATTATTAAAGAGAAAATAAGGGGAAAGTATGCGCGTATTCTCCTCAAAATGACCAAGACAATGATGCATCGTGTATATGTGTAAGTATTAGTGTGTGTGTGTGGATGTCAGGGGGGGGGGGTAAATCAAACTAATTTACTTTATATTTTAAGAACAAAAATATTTTTAATCTTTTCTTAAATGTATATAATGAAGGGGCATTTTTCAAGGAATCGGTAAAGGAATTCCACAAATTTGGGCCATCATAGATAAAAGTGTTTTTAGCGAAGGAAGTTCGAAATAATGGCAAATGGTACTCTTCCGATTGTCTAGTTGAATGTTGATGAAAAGAGCGATTTTTTAAAAACATAGTCTTAAACATTTTTGGCAGCAAATCATTAGTATTTTTATACATAAATTGACCTAATTGAAGCAAATACAAATCTTTTACTTTCAAAATATTATTATCATAAAACAACGGATTAGTGTGTGCACGAAAATCTGCCTGGGAAATAATTCTAACTGCTCTCTTCTGTAACAATAAAAGTTTGTCTAAAATGTTCTGATGAGCGTTACCCCATGCGAGTAAGCCATAATTCAGATAAGGTAATGTTAAGGATGAATATAATGTTAATAATGCTGAAGATGGGAGTTGTGTTTTAAGTCTATTTAATATACCAATATTTCTCGAATTTTTTTTTAGAAATGTTATCGACATGAACTTTCCATGAAAGCTTATTATCAATTATTACACCTAGAAATTTAGAATGTGTAACCTTTTCCAAATGAGTGTCATCAAAAACTAAATCAGTTGGCAAAGAATCTATTGAATTACTAAAAAGAATATATTTAGTCTTTTGTAAATTTAAAGACAGCCTATTAGCTCGGATCCATTGAATAATTTTTTCTAATTCAAAATTTACAATTTCAACAAGAGTATTTGGATTTGTATGTGAAAAGAACAAATTTGTATCATCAGCAAATGATATAAAAGACGCCATATCTGATGATCTATAAAAATCATTAATATAAATAATAAACAAAAGCGGGCCCAGCAAACTACCTTGAGGAACCCCACAATTAATATTTCGTAATTCAGAAGTGTGACCATCCAGAAATACAAACTGTTTCCTATCGGAAAGGTAACTCCTGAACCACTCCAAGGCCTTCCTACGTATACCATAATGAGAAAGTTTATGAAGCAAAATATCGTGGTTGATCGTGTCGAAGGCCTTGGAGAAGTCCAGGAGTATTCCAACCATATGATAAGAGGAGTCGAGAGCATGAGCTACCTTTTCAACAAGTGATAATAATGCATGACTCGTGCTATGTTTCTCTCTAAATCCAAATTGGGAATCACAAAAAATATTATGAACTTTCAAAAAAGCAACTGTTCTTTTATGTATAAGTTTTTCTAAAACCTTCGAAAGAGATGATAATAAAGATATCGGGCGATAATTATTTACATCTTGCTTATCACCCTTCTTAAATAGTGGAATAACTTTTGCAATTTTCATAACATTAGGTACTTCTCCATTCAAGAAAGACAAATTAAAGATATGAACCAATGGATCTACAATGAAAGGTATTATCCCTTTTAAATAAAGTTATTAATATTATCAACACCAGAACTTTTCTTGTTTTTCAAATGAGAAACAATATCTATTATTTCAAATCTATGAGCTGGAACAAAGAAAATAGAATTTGTATTTGGGGCGTTTAAAAAATCTGTGAAAGATTTTTTTGATTGTGGTATATTTTGTGCTAACGTCTCACCAATCGAAGAAAAGTGTTTATTAAAAATATTTACAATCATATCAGAATCATCGATCACTTCATTATCCCTTTTTATTTTAATAATATCATTTTTATTATGGACCAAATTCATAGCCTGTTTAAGAATTTTCCAAGTATTCTGCATATCATGTTTATAAAACTCTAAGCGATTCACGAAATAATTCTTCTTTTCAAAACGCAAAATTCTAATCAAAGCATTCTTATACGAAGTATATTTACTTTTAGTTCTATCTGTAAGATTTGCTTTATACTTATAGTACAACTTATTCTTTTTATTAATACATCTTAGAAGAGATTTCGAAATCCAGGGAAGTCTAGGGGTAATTTTATAATTATTTACTTTATCTCTTTGTAAGGGAATACATGTATCTAACTCTTCATTCAGAATATCTAAAAAATTATTATACGAACTATTTACATCATCAGTGTTATAAACACTTGACCAATCTGCGTGCTCTAAACTGGCTCCAAGTCTTGCTATATTCTCTGGGGAAGCTCGACGTCTTAATGGACGAGGCCGTCCACCATGGACTGAATTTAAAAGAGTAAACTGAGTAAAAATGGGATAATGATCAGATATATCAGAAAGTATAATGTATGAATCAGGATGTGGAATGACATTACTATTGCCGTTTGGAAAGTATATATCTCAACTACATATTCTGATATTTTCATGGTCGCATCTACCATAGTTTATCAAAATTTACAGGGAGCACCAGTAAATTTTTATATTCAAGTTTTCTCGAAAGCAGAAGTGTTTTAGGGGCTAAATTTTCTAGTGCTTATAATACATCCACAGGGGCATCCAAATATATACAAATTGTAAAGAATCATCATCCATCCAATTTTTAAAATTTGCCAAAACTTTGTACTACCTTTAAATAAACAAAATTTCACTGCATTAAACTACTATGTCCATGTATCTTGAATTCACATAGCACTTTGGTTGCCGTAGCTAAAGCCGGGGTAATAATATCCAATGTCCTTTGGAAGTGCATAGAGAAGTTATATCATAATGTGATATGCTGTTTACAAGAACGGTATTTTATTATTATTATTATAAAGATTTAAACCTCATTCATGATGGACTTCATTCATGTACATACAGTTAAATTACTAGATTATTTATACCTGTTGTAAATTTGATATTTTTTTGGTTTTTTGTATCCAAGAATGAAAGGTGAACTGGTTGAATTAGGGCCTCTGTTGAATACTTTTAGATGTTAGCATTAATATCTCACATTCTCCAGAAACATGAATTGGGAAAAGTCAATTTTTCAATGACAAAGCTTTGTAAGGATTGACTACGGTAATTTAGTTCTTAACTGTATATTCTTTCTATTTCCACAAGGCTATGGCAAAGAAAACGAGGTCAATATCTACGACCTAACTTCAACGTCTGTATCCTTCACCTGGTGGGGGACTGGATTGGTTGAATCCCCCATCGGACTCATGCCCATCGGAAGCTGCATGGCGGAAGAACCACCTGAACAGGATGTGCCTTTTTTTTTAGAGGCGACATTTGACGACCTTATGCCTGGTGCCAGATATGCTATTTCCGGCATTGGTGGAGATAATGTAGAGTTTATAGCATGTGCGTTCAACTTCATGATAATGATAGTAGTAGTAAGAGTAGTAGAAGTAGTACTAGTAAGGATAATAATAATAATAATATTATAATAATAATGATATTATACTACTAACAATGATAGTAGTAATAATTATGATAATAATAATAGTAATAAAGTTGATGATGATTGTTAAGATATGCGATATCCGAATATCCGGTATCCGTCGTAGTTCAATAAACAACATGTATCTACCAATAATAAGACCCTCAAACTCATCATGGTGGCAGCTGCTGGGATCTTCGAAATCAAGTTTTATTTTTGAAGACACATTTATATCCAGTTCGCCACAGTTGGGAAGTATAATTAACAAAATTATCGTCGATTAGCGATTTGTGACGTCGCACGTAATCGTAATTTGTATGCATAGTATGTGCACCGTATATACCGCACAGTGTACTGAGACACTGGTGCTACTGCATATTCCAGATGAACTCGTACGTGAATGGTGTTGTGTGTATGAGCATATAAAGGCTCATAAAGCCTGCTCAGAATAGCCTAATCAAGTCATAACTGTGCTCAATCAATGACACAGGGGTCTGCATAATAACTAAACTAGTAAAGTTTAAATTAAGTCTAAGTCTAAAATTAAACTAAATCAGAGGTGTGAACATTAAAACTGTTTTCAGATACTATTAACAAAATATTAATATCTGGTGTGTGGGAATTGTCACTGTCAGACATTGAGTGAGAGTGATCAAAATTTTATTGCATGAGACGCCTAATGACATTCACACAGGTGCGAGAGCGTACACAGGTATACGTGTACAAACTTTATCAACACCAGCCGGTTAGGACCTGTTCACACTAAGATTAACAACACAAAGATCTACACTCATTCGTATAATCTGTCGTAACCAATACGCACACGTGAACATACACAATGAGTACCAAGTATCCAGAGATGAACTGGGAGGTACCAGACCTACCCGAAGAGTTCAAAGTATTCAAGCAAAGAATGGAGCTTGTGTTGGCAGACCAAGATGTAACTGATAACAAGAAAAAGGCTAACAAAATCAAAAATCGCTGTAGGCAATGAAGGTTTGCGCCGAATCATAGAGAGGGAAACCTTGGCCCTAGTGTTTGGTATCAACCGATTCCACACATACCTATGGAATTCACTGTGATAACCGATCATAGGCCATTGGAGACAATTTGGAAGACACCTCTAAGAAGCGCACCACCTTGTCTACAGAGACTATTGATCAAGGTACAAGGATACAGACGCCAAGTCAAGTACCGACCTGGGAAAGAAATGATTCTTTTAGATACCGTCTTCCTAACCCCAAGGAAGCACGCGATGTTCCGCTAGACATCAGAGTGGAATCAATCTGCTCCGAAGTAGAAGACACTCATCAAATCGACTTGATGTTCTTCGGACAACACAAGAGAACAGAACTCCAGAGGGAAACATCCAATGACCCTGTTCTTAGGTCATTGTGGCAGACAGTCACTCAGGGTTGGCCTGGAACTCTTCAGGAGCTGCCGACATCCCTAAGGGAATTCTGGTCTTACAGACATGAGATCGGAGTGTCACAAGGAGTACTCTTCAAAGGAAGCCGAGTGATCATACCAAAGACACTTCGGGAAGATATCCTTAGACAACTCCATCTTGGACACATGGGAATCGAGAGCACGAGACGACTAGCTCGTGAGACAGTGTTCTGGCCACACATCAACAAGAACATTGAACAGCTCGTAAAGCAATGTGTTGCATGCCAGGAACACCAGGCAAGGCAACAGAAAGAGCCGTTGCTTCCCCATGATGTACCTTCAGCACCTTGGACTAGACTAGGGACAGATTTGTTCATGCTCAACAGACAAGACTATTTACTCGTCACTGACTATTACTCCAAGTATCCAATAGTCTACAAGCTGACTAACACAGCAAGTGCTGCAGTAGCTAACGTGATGAGTGGAATCTTCAGTCTATTTGGTCCACCAGAGGCGATCGTATCGGATAACGGTCCACAATTTGTCGGGAAGCACTTCCAGGACATGTGCCGGAAGTGGTCAATCACACATACAACCTCTTCACCTCACTATCCAAGATCCAATGGACTAGCTGAGAGAATGGTTCGTACCATCAAGAATCTGTTGAAAAAGTGTTCACAGACTGGCCAAGACAGTCAACTTGCTATGTCACACCTAAGAGCAACACCTGTTGACAGTCACTTGAGATCACCTGCAGAGATGTTGTTTGGAAGACCCATCAGAACAACACTGCCAAGTCATTATCTTACAAGAGAATCTACCACCACAGATCATCTCTTGAATCGAAAAAGCAAGATGAAAGAAACGCACGATCGACATGCGGGTCCAAATCTTCCACCACTCCACGTAGGACAACCAGTCAGAGCCCTACATCCCAAAGATCATACTTGGATACCTGCCAATGTATCCAAAATCTGCGACGAGTATCAACACCCAACGGAGGAATCCTGAGACGAAACCGATCTCACCTTAGGGAGATTCTATCGTCAATCAACCCAACTCCAAAGCGGGTTAGGTTTGACGAAGACTACACTTCATCTACTCAAGCAGAAACACCACAACAGAATGGCAACAACCATCACCCAACTCCACCACCAGAAACTCCGAATATTCAATCTGAGGAACCAACATCAAACTCGCAAACCACAACTAGATATGGACGCAACATCCGTACACCAGCGAGATACATGTTTGAAGATAGAAACTGAACTCTTAACCCTTACTGTACTGGGCTATTTCGAGCACTCTCTGACTGGGGGGGGGGGGGGGGCCTGGGAGGCCCCCCCCCCTATGATCTCGGCCGTCGAATGTCCGATGAACGCGAAAATTTGCATGTTTGTAGATATTTACGTAAGGAACAAGGTGGTATAATTAGTTTTTTCCTAATATGCAAATTTTTTTCGTTAAAGCCTGATTAATTATGCAAAATGCTAATTTCATGCATATTACAGAAAACTCTACATATTTGTCCATAGACTTGTGAAGAATCTTTGAAAATGTATTGAATAAATGTTTCCTTCACCTCAAATTCATAAGGTTTCATTATTTTTATGATTTTTGAAAATGCATAGGTTAATTTGCATAAATTATGAATACGCATTCATGAATATCAAATCTGGAAATATTATATTTTTTAATGTTAATTGAAACCCATTATTCATATGAAACTTCTTTTCTAACACAAAATAGTTATTTGATGTAATTAATAATGATAATTTATGCAAATTTGATGCGATTTTCAACTATTTATTTTCTTCTGTATTTTATTGTTTTTTATTTCTTATTATATCTATTGTTTTATTTCTGATGTATTCTTTTGTTCTGAAATACTGAAGTTACTTTGAGAAACATAAAAGCAATTTGATACCAATTCATATCTTCACATTTCTGCTTGTACATGAATATATGCGATTATAGCACTTTTTTGATGACATGCGTATACTAATTGTTATGTACCACCTTACAGGTATATCCGAGTTTGATGAAAATGGTATCAAAATGTGCGTAAGACTTGAGGGGAAAAAGTCATGAAATGACAATTCAAATTCCGAGCGGTTGCGGCGCGATCTCCGAAAATGTCGAGGGGGGAGCCTCCCAGGCCCCCCCCCCCCCTGTACAGTAAGGGTTAAATATCTTCAAAGAAGAGAGAAGATAAAGAAGAACACAGAAGACGCTTAGTTTAACGTAGTCTAAGAAGTTTATTGTTCATATGCATGTATAATCATTGTACAGTATTTTTGGTATGACAAGCATAATGATTACAAATCAAGAAACAGATGCTAGCCCAAACATGTTTCGTTTGGAAATTCATTTTATAAAGGAAGCAAGTTATATCAAAACTATGTTCAATTTTGCAGATCAACTGTGAAGTTGAAAGTGGAACGATATATCCATGTTCATTCCACTCATTTCAATTAGATTACCTTCCAATGTATTTGATTCCATTCAATTCAGAGACTAATAAGCAGACACCATTAGGTGTTGCTACAGGTAGACAATCGCATATAATTATTGCAAAGTTTTTGTTTTTGTCCAAAATTTCAAACAGTGCCTGACCAAGTAAGCAACATTGTCGTGAAATTCATCAACTCTAGTGCTGTCAGCTTTAGCTGGACGGCGCCCTCTGGCTGCTACGACCGAATAGAGATCAGTTACGCCCCCGACACCTGCACCAACCCGTCACCAATTGTGCTCAATCAGGATGAAGGCAACGAGTACACTCTGACTCTTCTACAAGCCAACGAGGAATATCACTTGTCCTTTGTTACCCTTCAAATGACAGCCAGGAGTGAACCCTACGTAGCCAGCGTACGCACAAGTGAGTACAGCAGGATATTTCACCTCTGTCTTGAATGTTGAGTTGAAAGAATTTGAAGGAATTGTTATTATACGATTTTATAAGACGGGTTCTAGAATGTAAGCAATCCGATTGGTCAATTGACATCACGTGGGCGTGTATTAGTTCTTCCCATCGTGTAAAACATCTCCCATCAAAAATTGATAACACACGCTTGATACCTGCCGATATCGCTTTCGCACAATTCAGCCAAATTTAATTTTTGCATGATTTTCAATATCTAGATCTAGAATATTCTAGACCTAGATCTAGTAGGATATATAACCTAGATCTAGATCTAATTATACTCTAGATCTAGACTATATTGTACGAAAATATTGCAGACCCGTCTTATAAAACAAATAATGCACTGTTTCGCTCGTGTATTAGCGCAGTTCCAGTGCGTGCATTATCACCTATGTACACTGACTAAACTTTGTGCGCTGGCCTTGCGCTAACACACTAGAAACAGTGCATTATTTGTATAATATCTTGGTTGATCGGTTTTTCCTGACTGCTAAGAAAGCATAGACTGATGCCTTTAAGTCCTCTATGGGAGATTTGGTAATGAGGATTAATGCCTTACCAAAGGGCGCTTGTACATCTAGACGTGGTATCGAACCCAAGAATTCCCGATCATAAGACTGCTCTACCACTGAGCTATCAAACTATCAGTGGGCAGTTGCGGCTGTCCTTTGAGCGCTCTAACTAGCTGCCACATTTCTTGACAGATTTCTTTCAAATTTTCTACAGAGATGCATTATACTCTTCTACCCACATTGTTTTGGTGATGCTGCTCCTAGTCTTGACAATAGTCCGAGCCACTAGTGGCAATCTCAAAGACATCCTTTTGTTTCAGGGAGGGGAGAGGGGATCTTTGTCCCTCTTTTGAACATAAGGATGACACAAAATCGCTGCCACTGCCGGGGGATACATTCGCATTGCGAAGCAATACAAATTGCGATATTTCTAGTCACTATTGTTATTATTATTATTATTATCTATTCTCTTTGTTCATTTTAGCATGCCCTGAAAAGGAGAAACTCAATGTGGGCTCTGTACAGGCAGACAGCATTTCCCTCACCTGGGGAAACACTACCCAGGCCACTGCAACCGGTTTCACACTTGTGGCCACGCCCGAATCTTCCACCCCCATCATCAGGGAGCTGGATCTGTCTGTGTTAGAATACACATTCGATGGATTGATGAGTGGAGTGGAGTACACTGTAGTGCTCTATGTAAACGGCACCGCAATCACTGATACTGTCACACAGACTACGTGTGAGTAAATGCTTTTTTTTTATTTTTAAAATTGTACAAGAGAGTTCATGTATGTCATGTCGATACCCCTGTGTACCACTGTGATTGCAAACATTTATCCTCAATAATGGTTTGTTCAGTTATGGTGCTGCTGTGCTGCTGTGTTTTTTTAAACGTGTAAATGAATGGCAACCGTGTGCAACAAAGGATTTGTACATATTCACTGAGCTCTGTGTTGTAAGACACAGAAATGTGAAGCGTATTACACTTCATGTCATCATAAAGATACTGCCATGTTTTCGCTGCGTCATATCTGAACGATCCTGAATTATCGTAGAGGTGTTGTAGTCGAGTGGTTTAATCACTGGGCTGCAAATGCAAGGTTGGACCCATATCTACATTGTTCCTCTCCACTCGTGTGTTATTTGGGTACCCAGGAGGATGTGCAGGCCATTATTTGGCCTGTCTTCATTATCTCGAGATTGCCAAATATCCAGCTATTTGAACTATCCCGATCGCAAACTATCCAGCTAATTTGCATCTTCAATAGACCGAAGTAGCAATAAGTGAGATATTTGGTCGAGATTGTCATCCCAAGATATCTTGGGATAGTTTGCAAAATATCCCACTATTTGGCAAAATATCCAGCTATTTGTGCCGTGCGTCTTCACCAGAACGAGTTTCAAATTTTGAGGTTGAATCTTAAGCTGATGAAGACGCAATTTGTAACTGTGGGATTATCTCCCAAATCAGAAATAGCGGGCTATTTGGCAATCTCGAGATGATGAAGACGCGCCTATTGTGGTTAGATTGGCATATTGTGCGTGCCCGTAAAAAGGCGACTAGCTGGAGTGCTCTCCAGGGAGTGGAGAATGTGTACTGTAATGTATAGACAAGTAATTGAATCCACTGACCAGGATACTAATACTGTAAGGCACTTTGGTCAGTTAAATGGCAGTCCAACATTTGTAATAAGTTCATATTTATGAAAGCTTAAAAGTAAGGAGAAAAAAAGTACTGACAAAAGTTCGAAATGAACTAAATCTGACTAATTATGAGGGAGTTATGAATGTTTGAAAATCTATGCAAATCCCAAATTGGCTATTTGGTCATTTGATTGTGATACAGTCAGGAACAACTCCTCCATTTGTCATGTACAAAAATATCATTAAATTTCTATTCCCTTGGAGCACTACTCAAAATGTATTATGAGTAGCATATTTGTTTAGGTCCTTTAAAAAGAAAATAACCCTCCTGAGTCATACATTTTTAAAAATTCACATTGTAGTAATTGTGTGTGTTAAAACGAATAGGAAAGTTTTCTGACACTTTATCACAGTGATTGATTCTGTCAATTTAAAGTGCCCATACATATAGTGATTGCAACTTTCTAAAACTCATTACTTTTTAATTTTTTGTCTGATTTCCTCTACCTGTATGCTTCTCTTCTAATCTTGGTTTCTCTCTGAGTAGACGTCTATAAAGGTTGGATTTTTTCTTTAAAGGTTAAAGAGCTTTATAGTTAGGCCTAACAAAAAAAGATGTTGTATTGCCCTTTGCGACCGACCCTAAAATCTTGAAATCTAAGGTCAGCTTTTTTTTTAAAACCGTTTTTTAGAGGGAACAATTATCAACCCAAAGAGGGAAAGAAAAAGAAATTTCCGACCGACCAACCGATGTTTTGGCACCTAAATGACAATACCATTTTTTTGTAGGCCTTAGAGAAGGAGAGAAAGAGTGAAATTTACAAAGTAATAAACAGATTACCAGAAAAAGAAATACAAATGATGTACCAGTAATAAAACATGTGGTATGGAGAGAAGTTTTGACAGATCATGAACTTCATATATTGTTTCCAGGTCCAAGTGAAGCCCAGAATGTGACTGTTATCTTCTCTACCCAAACTTGCCTGACCTTCACTTGGCTTCCACCAGAGGGGAACTTTCACAGGTGTGTTCAAATTTCTACTCTCAAAAAAAGTTTTAAAAATATATAAAGTGGACACTCTTTATTGTTTATTGTAAAAATGGTCACATAAAGCATCAATATGATATAATAAAATATATAGCGAATGAAAGGAAAATTGATACTCTACCAACATCATTAAGATGAAGTTTTGAATTGTCATGCTTCAACAGTTATAAGGTCTGATTAAGAAAATTGCAAAAAAGAGAGCGAATATGCATTCAAATGTCAATGGACATGTCATCTGTTAGACATTCTTGTTCAATAGTGAAAAGAAAGATTGAGAAAGAATGAGGAGGATTGAGCTCTGGTTCTCAACTGTAGTGTCAAGACTGCAATGTAAGCATGGTATAGAAGCCTCTCCTTTCATGTTTTTTGTGATTTTTTTTTTCATTGTTTTAATTTGACTCTGGATGAAAATTCTTGTCTGTTTTGCAATTTTGTTCAGAGACTCATTTATTGTTAAATTGCAATACTGGTATTTATTTGAAAATCTAAATTATGAATAGTGTCTACTTTCTTTCTTTGCTGAGTGTAGTATACATATACAAGTTAATATGTGACCCAGCTCCACAAAACTTATGATTATGAGACCAGTAGCCATAAAGTAGGTCATAAAGAATTTACTACAACAAATTCAAGATCAGACAAACATAGGTGTACAAAACTGACCAAAATTCAACTTGTAGATTATTGGGTGTTTTCAAAATTTGATATAACATAGAGGAATGTATACTCCTTCAGGAAATACTAAAAAGTAAAATTTTACAATCCTGACCAAATGCTATGTTATTGAGCTCTAACTGAAAATCACACCATGTGACTGTTTGGTGGTTTTATGGTGCTTTGTCACATTTGGACCACCGAAGGGAGTTATATTTTCACAAGGGGTTAGTCATGTAATATGATAATGAGGGAAAACATAACTCCCTTGCAGTCCAAAGCATGTCATATAACACTCCATTCGAGTTGCTATCTGTTATATTACTTACAGATACAAGGGTGCGATTAGTCCACAGCTTGTCACATGATATCGATTGCGATGGTTATATTGATTATTGACCATTTGTTCAAAATAATATATTTGTACGTTTTACCATATCGATATCCAATGCGAGCTCCAAGCAACCCTGCATATTAAGTTCAGTATAATTAGGTATTCACCACTTCAGAATTAACTTCAATACCTAACCCTAATCCTCCCCCTAAACCTATAAACCTAAACCCAATTGCAACCCTAACCCTAACCCCATACTTGTGAACGTATCAAGCCAGTAGCAACTGTTGGACACCGTCCTTGTATTTGTATATTAATTATTGTGTTTTTTCAAATTCTGATTGAACGCAGCTATAAGGTTTTTGTCAGACATGGCAATCCTCCAGTGTTTGTCTTAGAGCGAACTGTTTATCCAGATGATGATCTGAATGTGTTGGTAGAGAACCTCGATGCCAGCACACTCTACACCATCGGTGTCGTCACCGTTGTTGATGGATTTAAGGGGAAGCCCGCCCTCGCCACTCAGCGAACAAGTAATCCTTTTAATCTTCTTATTCCAAAGATCTGGGGAGCCCTTATAAGGCTCATTCAAAATATGCTGTGGTAAACCACTGTGTTTTTTATGACATAAATGTATTAAAGTGTAATGCTCTTTACATTTCTGTTTCTCATAACATGCAAACAAGTGAGTACATTAACATGTAGGATATTCATTGCACGCAGCCACTTTTTTCCCCTCCCTACATGCTATTCTTTCAGTTTGCATGTAACAAACAAACAAAAAGACATCTTAGTAACTCGTGCATCTTGTGTGAATTAATCAAGTTCTGTTTTTAGTCATGCTTCAGTTTAAAAGAATGCAACATTTATATTATATATGAGCTTGAATGGTACATCAGACATATTGACCAAGCTTAGATCATATTACCCTGAGTCGAAGATGAGGGCAATGTGGTCTTACCCCGAAAGAAGCCCTGTCAATATAATCATTGTTACCTACACAAGGCATTTTTTACAAATGATAAACAACGTTGGTATCAAGCATGATTTGTACTTACCGTGTATGCATGTATTTCCCTTACTCTTGTCCAGAGATGAAAATGTATTTGAAAATGTCATTGTGACGTAAATTGTTACCGCGCGTGCAATAATGCGTACACGATACTGCACATATGCACTTTAATAAAAGCGCACTGACAAGAAAGAGTGGAATATGCCAGAATGTTGCCATCTGATTTAGTACAGTGGTCTACGGGCAAAACCTGGAAGAGGGCAATATGGCAAATATTGCCTGCTCCGGTTTCGTATTCGGAGTAGCGTGCAAAGTATGACTTTTTATTTTACAGCTAAAATGCATTGTATGGGTTACAATACAGTATATACAAAGCATTTGGAATGTAAAATACAACGAACATTAAATGAATTTATTTAAAATACGAATAAAAGGACCATCATTAAGGCACTGGCAGTGCCTTAAAAGGACGTCACACGTAGCAGTCCACTATGTCGATGTTCAAATCTATAAGTCCCTATGGAAAGCCTATTGAGGCTTGACAGGCTGATGGGCCCAAGAATGGGCAAGTTTTAAACCTTGATATTTTGGAGGAAGAGAAAAAGTCAGGTAAAACAAAGTTGTTGGGGTATTAAATAATAACAATTAATACAAAATTAAAAATTAGTCCTACACCTTTCAGGACAGGAATTTGTATAGGTTAAATTGATCACATGTTGTTCTGTAATGTTTCCGAAAACGTATTGCCAATTAAATTTTATTTTATATCATATTTTCCTTTTTAAAATTCCTGGTGTGGAACGCAGTGTGGTCATACAACAAAAATGGATAGTGTATGCAGAATCTTCTGCCTTTTGTACTTCTAAATCTGGTATATGATTTAGGGCTCTGAATCAAAATTTTTTGAGCAAAACCACAAAAACTTTTGTAAAGATCAAATTTTGTTTATGAGTACAGGCATTTAAAGCAGAATCTCTTAGGTGTTTTGGTAAAATCTTGAAACAAGAAAACCCCATGGCACATTAAAAATTAATGTACTCTTCCTCTATACTATTTCCTTTCAGCTGATAATCTTGTGATGATCTCAGCCGTGCCTGGTGATAACCAGGCTGTGACAGTCTCTTGGCAGAGACCTGATGACGCTGACTACGTCAACCTGGTTTACATTCCGGATATCGGCAACCTGACCAATAGTGATCTGACCAACCTCACTGACCTCTCGGTGACCATCCGTAGCCTGACCCCTGGCAAGAGATATGTCTTTATTCTGTATGTTCATGGCATGGACGGACAAAGCGCTTTGCTAGCGCAGACTTCATATTCTCTCAGTAAGTCAGAAGCTTCAGTGGTGGGTCCAGGATTATTTTCCAGGGAGTATATAGGGAGGGGCAGCAACAGTTCGTTTGCAAAAGTCAGATTTATAGCATGTCAGAGTTTCTTTCTTGTGTCAAAATATCTAACAAGATTGACAATGTTTTTTTTTTAAGGGATAGGGAAGGACAGCATCAATATTTGTGCCATGGCCAGAAACACGTGAAAAGCATGAAAAGGTGGAGAAAAAAAATCATGAAAGTTTCCTATGGGCTTTAATTACATGTACTCAGCACAAACTTGACAGAGTATTTTGAACGTCTATTGGAGTCAAATTTGTCTTCCTCCAATATGTGCGGAAAAGGTCAAAGGCCAAAGGTTACTTGGTCATGAAAATGTTATAAAGAACAGAAAATATCTTGTTACCATGATCATTTGAAAAGCGTTAAAGCAATCTAAACCTAACTTGGATGAATTATGAATGAACATATGAGGATGAAGTGATGATTAGATTTTGGGTGGAAAAGCTCAATGGTCACAGGGTCAGAAAAGTGTTGAAAAATGCCAGAAAATATCTTGTTATTGCGATAACTTAAAAAGTATTATAACAGGGCCAGCATGGAGCCCAAGGCCGACTTTGGTTCCATGTGCACAGTTTTTAAGGTTATTCTTTATGTTTCTTCATACTCCTTATCCGTTAGCCCATAGAGTGCAGTTGAAAGCTTTTTTGAAATGTTGATTTTATACTTTCTATCTGTACACAATGGTGGTCTCCTGCATTCTAAATTACCTCTCTAATTTATTGAAAAATATTTCGTACTTTTTATCTTACTTGTATGCTTCGTAAATGTTTAACGTACGATATAATTGTACATGATTTTATATTTAATTACTTTTGTAAACATTTTATTCATTGTATTTGTTATTGTTCAAATTTTTATACTTTGAATTTGAATTTTTGTATATTTTTGAACGCAGAAATAAAATCAATCAAACAAACAAACAAACAATTTATTATTTAGGAAATTGGTACACTTTAACCCATAGCAGAACAGTGTCTCCTTTTAGTGATGTTTTTTGCATTATAATTTGATCCAAAATGCTCTGAATTATATATTATACTTGAGCTAAAAATCCCTTCAAATTTTGAGTGTCTTTCCAATGCAGTACGCTGTGCCTTTCTCAATTAAGAGCAATTCAACTGTAACCAGTCAATAAAGTTTCTTTATAAGGGAGTTTACAGATAGCACATGGTACAAACGACCCCAAATATCCACAGATCTTTTACACATGGAGAAGTTCCACTTTGAGCATCTTAGAATAATAACTGCCTAAGTCCGAGATGTGCTTCATTAATACCTTTTGTTTGACCTCTTGAAAAGAATACTTCCACCTGCGTATCATAGAATGTACCATTGGAGCATAATTGAATAATGTTACATAACTTTCATGAGCGCATATCCAGTATTCGTCTATGTGGGTTTTACCATTTTGGTACAAATGACCTTCATCTGCCCATGCACAGATTGTATCTGTGAACTGGCTTAATATTGGCAACACAGTGTAAAATATCAAATATATATTTTTGTGTATAATTGTCAATTTTGGGGGTTAACATTTTTGCAATTTGTTTTCACATTGGTTCATTTAATCTACATTTCAGTTTGTTTTTTTCAAACTAAGAAGGAGAGGAAAATAAGTTTAATTGTTGTCAATTTGAGGAGGGAAAGCTGATTAATTTAGAAAATAAGAAGACTCTGAAATATTATGGTAAACGCAAACAAACATATTTTCTTGTACCCGCAGGACCATTGAGCCCAGTACCTTATAAAGGAAGAACTTCTGCAACTACTTCTACAGCGGGCGTTATCCTACGAAAAGGAGTGTATGAAACGTACAAGATTACTATAAGTCCATCAGGCAGAACTTTCCAGGGTGACAGAGCAAGAATCATCAATCGGGACATAACAGGGCTTGAACCCGACACAGAGTACACGGCCACTGTCACTTTCAAGACCGGTGATGAAGAAGCAGAAGCAGACTATCAATTTCAAACAGGCATGCATCTTGTTAAGAACTTTTTCTTCTAATATACTGGGAAGTCCAACCTGATAAAAAGTTGGTTTCAATAGAAGCAGAAAACCGAGAGGAACACTTCCCCTTTAAAGCTCATGCACGGTTTTAGTGAGCTCTCAAACTTTTTGTCAGATATCTTTAATTTTAGATGATAAATAGGAAGATAATGGCTTTAATAAGCTGCTGTCATTTAAAAGTTATAATGACTGCTTTAACATTCGAGGCATAGTTGTTTTTATAGGCTCTTGGAGAGGTTACATCGTGCTATCACCCCTCGGAATGCACGCCTTAGGGCGATAGCATGATGTAATCTCCCCTTGAGCTTATAAAAAACAACTATGTCTCTCATAGCAGTCATTATTACTATACTATCATATTTTTCATATTTTCTGCTTTCATCTTCTCAGTCTTGTTACAGAGACCTGAAAAAAGAACATTGAACAAACAAAATTGATGCAGGAAAACCAATTTTCTGAAAAGAGACTGCATTTTACCCCACTTTGTCTTTTAAACAGAGATCTTGAAACTGCATCTGACCCTAGTTTGAGCCTGCTTAGTTTGTGAATCTTGACACACATACTTTCTCATCTTTTCTTTTAAGTGCCTCTGTGGTGATTGTCATACATTATTACTCTAATAGTACTTGCAAAGATGAACTAAAGCAAGAAAAATTTCTCTTTCTACTTTTCATCTGTTTGTTTGAAAATTTAAGATATTATTTAAAGTTTGTCAAGCAGAACTTGTCTAATAACTGCCTCTTAATTCCTGGTCTCATCAGGATCTTCAGGAATGTAAGCTGCTAAACCCTAATGAGGCTGGGGTATTTGAGGTCTTTCTACGACCGGAGGGGGGGGGGGGCATTATTGCCCCCAGCCCAAGATTTAAGGCTGATCGCCGTGAAATTGTGCATGCATGTCGAGTGAAGTGTGTAGAATATTTTTTGACAAATCACTCATTTGCATATTTATGGTAATTAATGCAAATAATGTCATTAAACTCACATTTTTACTCATAAATCATATATTCTTCATATTTAAAAATTTGATTTCAATACATATATCCATTTGGAATAATAATACAACAAAAAACATTGGGAAGAGCCAGGTTATCCATTATCTTATCTATTGTTTTGATAATTTCTTATGTATTTCTCTGTTTTTTTAACTAAGGTATTTCATGGTTACTGTTGTTTTATTATCCCCTCAGCGACTTCGTCGCTGAGGGGATATAGAAACGCTGCTGTCTGTCTGTCCGTCCGTCCGTCCGTCCATCCTTCCGTCCACTCTGTCCATCCTTCCTTCCGTAACAAATCTGGTTTCCGTTCGATAACTTTAGTAATGTTTGAAGGATTTTAATGAAATTTGATATGAATGTACATAGTATCAAAAGACAGCCTAAGTTCGATTTTCAAAGTATGTAGGTCAAAGTTCAAAGGTCATACCTCATTAAATATGCGAAAAATATAAATCTGGTTTCCGTTTGATAACTTTACTAATGTTTGACGGATTCTAATGAAATTTGATATGAAGGTACATGGTATCAAAACACAGCCTAAATTCGATTTTGGAGTATGTAGGTCAAAGGTCATAACTCGTTAAATATACAAATCTGGTTTCTGTTCAATAACTAAAATGTGGTTAACTTTCTTGCCTAGTAGTGTACTAGTGTAGTCTCATAGAGGTAACTTGTTCTGACGTACATTGTATAAAGGCCATTTGTAGCCTGGTAGGGGATGCTACGCTTTGCGTTTAATTTTTTATTTCTAACTATGAATCAACTATTTTGACCCCTAAACAAACACCTAAACTTTAAGCAAGACCAAATAACCAATGTTTTATCTCTTTTTTGGAAAAATGATATTTCCATTTGTTTTGTACACGGATCACAAAAATTAGCGTTTTTCAGGCTAACATGCAAAGACAAAAGGGTCACGTGACTTTGTAACAGTAGGTCCCATTTTCTAAATAATAGACGGGAGGCAGGAAATATTGTTAAAAACCATCACCTTTTTTTACTGCCATTTACATTTAAGGAAAACCCCATAAAAACTGTAAGTGTTTCTTTTTTTTTTGGTAAGTAGTGCGCCTGCGCGACTTGTCGCTGCTCTGTGGTGGAATTTCTGCTGCCGTTTTATATAAATTCATATCACAGATGGGTTTTGGGGGTTGTTCATGGGTAGTTGCCTAGCAATTTCTGAGAAAACACCGGTATGTGAGAAAAACCATCTTGCAGACTCGTAAAATATGCTTGCCAGCTAATGCGATATGCCTTTGTATCCCCCCAAGGCCATTCAACATTATATGAATATTGATCAGTTCTCAATCATCTCATCAATATTCCTACAGATCCTCTTATAAAGGGCCAACTTTATTCAGATGAGGTGACAATCGATTCTATTCGGCTTGTCTGGGAAGAGATTCCTGACACAGACACATATGCCATTCAACTCGACGACAGATTATTCTTCACTCTTCAGACTTCATATGTACTGACTGGTTTAAAGGCTGGTACCGAGTATTCCCCTACTCTTTTGGTCAGGAAGACGGGGATGACTGAATTAGATAATTTGAATACCGCCGCTATTTATACACGTGAGTAAATTGTGAAATTAAATCTTGGCTCTTGATGTTAAGTCATTTTTTTTAAACTTAACATGAGTAGCGCATCAGGGAATTAAGATGGCATTAATTATGATTTCAAGTCGTCTGTCTGTCCTTCCATCCTGCTTTCTGTTACCACCATAATTTGAGAACCATTGCACCTATTTTAACCTGAAATAACCTAAATAACAATTTTTTTTAAAATTGAAAAGACTTTGAGTTCATTAAGTCAGATGTAAAAGCTCTTAGGAGAATTGTTCAATGAACATGCTGTACTTGGAGACTGAGATATTTGAGAGGCGTAGTCACATCCATCTTCTTTAATTTGATATGGAACCTAGAAAAGGAAAAAGACCTAATACTTTTTATTGATTGGGCTTACAATAGTGACTCTTATCATGCCACAGGGCTATAATCCCCATTGTGCCAAGCCCCAAATCCCCCCTGTGCCAAGTTTATTTTGAGATAATCTGTTTAACGCGTTAGTTCTATGAATAGCCCATGCGAAACACACAGCACAGTCCAATGAGCATGAACAATACTGGTAACTGCTAATACAATGCGTGCAATCGTGCACAAGGCAGAGAAGCAATGGTTTGCTCGCATGTACAAAGCACTATAACGATAGCGTGCATGCAGCCTTATGGCAGGCTATGAGTTAACCCTATTTTAACTGGGCTATTTCAGACCAGGTTTTTACTGAGGGGGGTCAATTTGACCCCCCCTACCCCCCCCCCCCCCCCCTAAGATCTCTGCTGTTTTACGGCCGTTCGCCGCACAAATTTGCATGCATGTCTAGTAAAGTGTATAAAATATTATGGTAATTTCAATCTTTTGAAAAATTCAAACTATGATTTAACTATTTTGACCCCAAAACAAACACCTAAACTTTAAACAAGACCAAATAACCAATGTTTTATCTCTTTTTAGGAAAAATGCTATTTCCATATGTTTTGTACACAAATCACAAAAATGAGCCATTTTCGGGCCGACATGCAAAGACAAAAGGTCACGTGACTCAGGTCAGATGCTTAACACTCAGAAGAAAAAAGTCATGAAAGGAAAACTTTATATCTGCCGCGGTTCTGGAGTAGTCGCTAAATTACTACAGGGGGGGGGGTCAATTTGACCCCCCCCCCCCCCCAGTTAACAAAATTTATTGGAATATTACTGTACCAAAACTAGAAAAAGTAATCTTCAGTGTGATTATTATAGCAGCATATTGTTCTACCAACTCTATTGATTTATTGGCATAGGAATGCAGTACAGTTTCTTGGAAAGCAGCTAAAAAAGCTCCTCCAAGTGAAAATGGGCTTTAGCTTAAATTGTGCTTTATATTGTGTATTATGATTGTCATTGTGACAGCATTGTGATAGCTAGCATGCCCAAGTCTTCACAGCACCCTTGTCTGCACATATGCATAATTGTGGGACTCTAAAACAAAACATTTGCATTTCTATAAAGTAAATTTCAAATTCTTTACCTTCAGGACCAGAACAAGTCTTGTTCTTTGAAGTGAAGGAAATTTTTGACAACAACGCCACTATTGTTTGGAGTGGCCCATCCTCAGACTTTGATCAATTTACTCTGTATACACCATTCGCCACTCATGGTATACATCCCAATGATAAGGAGATTACCATACAGGGCAACACAAATACAGAGTTCCTAGTCTCATTATTCACCGTAGCCGGAGGAAAGCCTGGTGAGCCTTCAACACTGAATGTCATCAAAGGTGAGTTTGTGACCCCGCGCCACGTTCAAACTACCAACAAATGGCGTGGTCAGGCAGACACAACTTTGAAAAACCAAAAATAGATAAACTCTTCAAAAACAGTGAATAGTGTGTAGGAAGGTAGAGCGCTCATCGCTCAATACGAGGCATCATGTACAAAAGGCAAAGGGGGAATCTGGTAAAGTAAACCTCTTTTTGATACTTGTATTTATTGAGAAACAATACTGTGGATACAATTTTTTCAAATGGTTGCCATTTAAATGTTATTTTGATAATGATAATAATAGCTGCATTTGTATATTGTGCTGGTGTCCATCCAAGAGGACGATCAAGGCACCTACTAAGTACTATCATTACCGTAGATTTATCGCTATAAAAATTCAAGGAGTAAATTAATTGAATTGAATTGATAATGGTTTTATTGAGATTAAAAGAACAACAATGCATCGCGGCCTGCAAGGCCGAATTGGGCAATGTTTTACAAATGTAAAGTGCAATACCCGTATTTGCCGGCGACACCCCCGATTTTCACATTAAAAAAAAAAAAAAAAAAAAAAACTTTTTGTCAAAGTTGCGATTTGATCTCTTGTGTACAAACGTTGATTTGACTAAAATCACCGCCTTAAACCTCTCGGCCATCACGCACTGATGCTAGCTTATGTAGTTTTTTGTGATGTATACATTGCGCCTCTCTCTTCTGTATTGAAATGGATTCAAAATAGCGACTTCGCGTGCTGGATACTTCGCGGCAGCTCCGATAAACGGGCCCTTCTTTTACTTTTGCAATGCATCGGCACGAACTTAGATCAAGATCTATCGGCAGATGTTGTTTTTGGAAGTTTATTTTCGTCTTCATGTCAACAATGCAAGATAAAATTGTCGGTAAGATGTGTGGAAATGTGTAGTTATTGTACCGTTCGTAGATCTAGTCCCATATGTGCAAATTTGTGCTGGTTTTGACTTACCGGTACTTTTTTTTTTTTTAATTTTTTTTTTTTACTCTTTCGTCGCATAGGCCGCACCCCAACTTTTTGATATTTTCTCTTCCAAAAAATACTGCGGCCTTTACGCCGGCAAATACGGTATATAAAAACATTCATATTAAATGACATCAAATTAATGAACTGAACTTGAATGAGTAAATTGTTAAAAATAATATTTAACTTTAAAATTCTTATTTCTTATCATTATTATTTGATCTCCCTAACTCATTTTTGTATTGTAGGAAATTGGATTTATACGTGTTTTTCTTATGCAAATGACTTTGTATAATTTGCATAAAACTGCCGTTAAAAATACGGTGAATGAAATGTAGTTCCTCGATTTATAAGTTTGTTTTGTTATCTTGAGGAAGAATTGATATATTGTGAGTCTATGTAAAAAAGGAATAAGATTGCATATAATGTGTAATAACTTAATTTTACTTCATTCAAAAGGTGTTTGTATAAGAATAGCAAAAAGAGGAAGGATATTTTGTTTATAGAATTGTGATAGGTCTTTATATGTGGGCGCGGGAATCTGCCTGACATAGCAGATACGTAGGGACACATTGCATCTTGTCATGGGCGAAGGAGGTTGTGCGTGTGTCGGGCCGTATATAGTGTGCAACGCCCTTGTTACGTTTTTACACCTTTGAAAGAAGTAAGTTGTTTTCTTTAAATGTCAGTTTGATAGTAAAGATTGTAAGCTTTGATACATGTCTATGAAATGTTTTTATGTCCTTCAGGAGAGGAAAATAAGGATTATTTTGGAAGGAGAATGTATTTGATTTTGTACTTGACAACTTCCGTTAGTCAGAATAGTATGTCTTCATAGGGATATGGTATCCAGTTAATCAAATTACATTGATCGTTTAAATAAATGTTATTACATTTATTCTATATGATGTTTAGATAAATTGTCATTTAAATGGTTAGTGGTTAACGCCTACCTGTATTTAGTGCGTGAATAATTGATTGTAATGATTTCGCCGTTGAGGGCGAATGGTGTTAATATTGTGATAAAGATGGCGGCGCCCATGGAATATTTGTATGATAATTTAATTGGTGAGTTACTTTATATAATATGTTATTAGTATACTATAAGGATGTTTTAATGATTTGTTATAGACGACATGCTAGCGAGGTTTGCTGGAAGCTGTAGTGTGGTCTAGCTGGGACTGCGTTGTATTTTGGGAGCCGGGAGCTGCTCCGGCTTGTTGCTTCAGAGACCTTGGGTAGGATATGATTTAATACACACATTGTTTAATTGGTATAATGTTGTTTATTAATGCATTTTGAATATGTACTTTCATATAATATGTGTTAATTAAAGACAATGATATTGTCTTAATTATTATATTATCATTGATGTAGAATACATTAATGCCACAGTTTATGTAATGTAGGCCTAAACCAACAGCGTGATAATTTACTGTCTGTTTATCTCGCCCACATTGTTGTATACTATGTATCAGATATATGTTGATAAGAATCTATACTTGTCTTGTATTTATGTTTGGCACATCTGATTGATTTGCAGGGTTTTCTTTATGCGATGATGATGATCAACAAATAAATGGGCTCATCACCCAACCTACCATCAAGCTGCTCTCAAGTTTCTTTATTGCTGCCTTATCCGTATTACGACAAATGGCGACGAGGATGGGATACGGATGTTTGTGGATCATCGCAGATTATCGCAGATGCTACGACTGAGTTCATCAGCTGAAGGAGGAAAACCCCTTGGTCAAGAAAGACACTTGGAGTGTCACAGGACTTTAACGAGTCAAAGTTTTTTTGCATGCAATATTAATTTGTTGCAGTTCCAAGTATTGGTGTAAGTTTAGTTGTAAACACAGTCATTATTGCCAATAAACATAATTATTGCCAATTGTTTACTAACTTGTACTTGCAGATTTAGTTTCATGTAGCCCTTGTAACGATGGCTGAAGATACGAGTATGGCAGAGATGCTGCAGGCGTTGACAGGTGTCATGCAAGGACTAGCTCTACGACAGACAACTCCTGCACCAAAGATTAAACTTCAAAAGTTTAAAGGTCCACCAAGAGCCCCAGGGGAACCTTCATTAAAGGAATGGCTGGATGATTTTGCTGTTTATGCCAAGAGGTACAGACTTGAAGGGAAAGACAAGGCTCAAGCATTGATCGATCATCTTGTCGGTGTCGTGAAGGAAGAGGTTCTGTGTAGGGATCTGTCAGTAAGAGAGGACTTTGATCAGCTAGTAGATGTGCTAAATTCACTGTTTGGACCTGCAGAATCTGTTCAGTCACTGAGTGCTGAATTTCACACGAGAACCCAGAGAGAAGGTGAAGGTCTTGCTGATTATAGCCGTGTATTGATGAGACTGTATTCACGCATGGAAAAGGCAGCCTCCTCTACAGATGAGAGGAGGGCCCTTGAGCTTCTTCGCGACAGTTCTCTAAGGGAAAACTTTGTACGGGGAGTGAGAGACACCGGGATAAAGAGAGAACTGCGACGAATAGAGATGGCCTCTAAAGGAAAAAATTCCTGGAAATGCGTGAGGAAGTGTTGGATCTTTTCAGGGATCAGGAGCCTTCAACAAAAGTGAAAGTCCAGGAAGCACTGGTGGCAACCCCCTCAACTACAGAGAGAAATGAAGTCAGAGAACTGAAGGTCGACCTATCTTCTTTAACGAGACAAGTGAGTGAATTAGTAGAGGCTGTAAAGAATTTACAAAGGAACAGTGGTGGACAGAAGGAATACAGTGGTGGACAGAAGGAATGGCAAGGAAGAAAGCTCATTTGCTACAACTGTGGTGAGAAGGGCCATCACAGGAATGATTGTTCATCTAGCAGAAGGTGCTTTTCTTGCAAGATGCCTGGGCATCTTAAGAAGGACTGTCCCTTAAACAAGAGTACAGAGAACACCCGAGAGAACTCTCAAGCAAACATCAGTTTGATCCAAGGTCAGAAGGAGGGGTCAGTAGATCCATTGATAAAGAGACTTGTATCACGAAGTCCAAAGTCGGTGGTGACCATCGGGGGCTTGGACATAGGATGTGTATAAGACTCGGGAGCGGAAACGTCCATAATACCCGCTTCGGTATACCATGAACAGCTGAAGGTACATCTGGGGGAGCTGCACTCAATGTCTGGACTATTTCTAGATATTGTGGGAATTGGTGGGATAGATATCCCAATTGAGGGCTACATCGAAGTCCCAATACACCTGGAAGGACATTCCCTCTTTGGAAGTTTTATGATTGCAGCGGACAGGGCATGCCACAATGCTACGGCTACTACACCGGAGTATCCTGTCCTGATAGGGTGTAATATCTTTGACACTATCGGTCCGTCAGGGTTAATTGATGTTCTGAAGTCTGCGAAGCAGAAAGTGAATGAGAGAACAGCGGCCTCCGGCTCACCTATCCCTGTACAGACTGGGCGTGTTGAAGTTCTCCAACCCTTTAGCATAAGAAGGGTAAGGTGTCAAATAGAGACAGATGATCATTCAATAGGAGAGATATTGGTGAGAGATGCAACACGCCCAGTCTACGCAATCAATGCCGTAGAAGGGTGCCAAGAACCTGATGGGAAATTAGTGGAAGTGCTGCTGGCTAACAGATCGGAGAACATTATTCATTTACCATCTCACACTCAGGTAGCAGAAGCAGTAATGGTCCAAAGAAGGAAAGAGGTTTGTCTTGACCTTGAGGAGGACAAGATATTGGTTTCTGTTCGTGATGTGGTTGCAGAAGAAGCAGAAGATGACAAGGTGTCTGAAAGTGTAATGTCGGATATTGACATTAAGGAAACAGATGACGGTCTTCCGAATCTTCCTACTGGAGTCAAGTTGGACGGACTTTCCAGCGAAGCTAAGATGTTGGTGACACAGTTGCTCGACAAGCATGCTACAGTGTTTTCATCAGGAAGCTTTGATTTAGGGGAATGCAGTGTTGTGCCTCACGTGATACAGATGACTGAAGGATCTGCGATTAGGCTCCCTTACAGGCGCATATCCCCAACGTTGGTCAATGAT